AGATGAACTTGGGTTCTCGATAAGCACGGGCCAGCACCTTCGTACAATCATTTTCAAAACGACGAATTTGGAGGATCGTCTTCTTTGCTTGCTTCAACCTTTGTGACTGAACGGTAAGACGAATCAAATTATGATTTACTTTACAAATATAATTTTAATGTGAATGGTTTATGAATACAGTTTTTTTTTCACTAAAACTAATTATTTTTAACTTTGATTCTTGACAACCAGGAGCGAGCACCTGCACTTCAAAGACAAGCCGTCTAACCACAATTATACGCGTGGCCAAATGGAAGTGCCTTCGATTTCTAAGACCCGTCTACACGAGCAATTTTTATGTGACAACTATATGTGACATTTTTTTGTCCGTGTTGATAGAGCCAGAAATTATTGTTGAAGACTCGCGCCAACTGTGATTTTGCACAGCGGAGATGTCAATAAACAAAACAAATTTAATTACCATAGTTTCGTAGTAGCACTAGAGATAATAAAACTTTAAAAAATACGATATATTTTTTAATATTTTTAATATATTTTTTTAAATATATTTTTTATTTTTATATTTTTTTTTAATCTTAACATGTTTCAGAAGAATGAGGATGGCATAATGTAATGCTGAAACATGTTAAGATTAAAAAAATATATCGTATTTTTTAAAGTTTTATTAAAACAAATTTAGTTGGTGTTAGCTCTGGCAACAACAATAATACCATTCTCTCTGTCGAATCCAGTCGTTCTGCTTACTATCGGTGTCGCCATCTTGGTTGGTGTGCAAAATGYTGAGACTGGGATTCAGTGTGACGTCGAAATAATTGCCACATTTATGTGACGCTCGTCCACACGGGAAATTATCGATATGTGACAATTACATAAAAACTAGCATGCCAGCTTTCCAGTAACTACAGTTGTCACATAAAATTTGTCCAATTTTGCTCATCTACCGCGGGCAATTAAAATTGTCACATAAAAATTGCTCGTCTAGACGGGGCTTAATTAATTCAGAGGTCTGAAGTTCAAGACTCAGAGGAGCTGACATTTCTTTAGATTTCTTTCTTTGCCAAAAAATAAATAAATTCAATCAAATATAGAACAGGGAACCCGGTAACGGTAACTTAATGAGAAAATTAATAGAGAAAAATGAGAATAAATAAATAGTTTTGAACACAAGTAACGCAGGCTCAAGTTTACAGGAAAGTGAGTGAGTGAGTGAGTGATTGAGTGAGTGACAGATTCGTCCCCCTCCAATAACTCTTCGATTGCTTCGCAATCTTCGAGTTAAAAACAGTGGAAATTTGGACCCATTTATATTGTCTACTAAAGTAGAACCTCAATGAATCACGTTTTGATATATATCATGTATAAATGATTGTTCATGTACATTTTATTTCAAATGCAGTCACTCTGATCCCTTCTGGCGACAATAATCCTTAGCGTTAAAATAATAGAATGTTTTGATGTGACGTCATAATGAACTAGGGCAATTAAATGCTGTGGACGTGCAACACTGAGGCTGTGCTATTTTCTCGTGTTATGCATGACGGAACTATCAGCTAGACAAGATTTATTTTATTTAGTATAGTAAAAACAAAGTATCGCTAGTAGTATGGGTGGACGATTTTTCGATTCTGTGTCGTATATCTTAGATGTATGTATTTATACGTATCCCGTCTTAAGTTAGTTAACACAAGTAACGCTAGCAACGCAAATTCAAATGGAAGTAATCAACGTTTCTTATTTTCTTTGCACTTGCTTTTCGGATTTGGTTTTAATTGCGTACGAACTGGTGCGTTTGCGCAGCTCGTGCGAACCAGACGTATGTATTTCGTTCGTTTCTGTATTTGTCCACAAGTCGCATCTCACATGTTATCTTTCTTACATTCTGTATTTATCCCACTGATTTATTAATCAATGAATCCTTCAATTCATTCATTTCTGTGTTCTCATTCATTCGTTTATCCATTCATTTCACAGATATACCTTTGATTGCATGATAAGCTCGTAATTTCTCATCGTCTTCCCATCCTGCTATGAATGACCGTAAAAATGCTCCATAGCAGCTGTAGGCAAAGTCGCTGCTGAACTGAGTGCACAGTAGAGAATGGGTGTCTTTCAACTGCAAAGGAAAATTAATACAATATATCATACATACCTTTGGTGCGTTCATTGTGCATCATGATTAAACTAGAACTATTCAACAGCATCAATCATTATGGGACTAACCAAGAATTTTACCACATAAAACCACTTTGTTTGATGGTGTTCAGTGGCGGATCCAGGGAGGGGGGTTCCATGGGTTCCTAGGAACCCCCCTCGAGCATAAAAAAAAGATAAATGAAATGTGGGTGTCTTAACATTTGCTACAGTTCGAGAGGAACAGTAAAAAAGTTCGTTTTAGGAATATGCGAAAAGAAAGTGGAACCCCCCTTTGAAAAATCCTGGATACGCCACTGGTGTTGGATGTTGATGAGCGGTAAATGCTTACAAACGCTCCACAACGCATTCTGGGTGATGTTCGGCGATCAAACATTTCACCCTAGTTTGTATGGCACAGGCGTTTAGAGCGGTTTACATAGACAAATATAGTAATATTAGTATGTATGTATATAAGTCCAGAATTGGACCCTCTTTTCTCAATTACTATGTTATTATATGTAAGTTAAAGATCTAACGCGCGCGCAAGGATAAAAGAGGGTCCAGTTCTTGACTAGCATTAGCCTCCTTTGCAGACGTTATTAGTATCGGTCAGAGGTCGTGGAGAGGGAATTTATGACCGATACTAATAACGTCTGCAAAGGAGGCTAGACTAGCATGTGCAATGAATGATTTATTTTTTTCGGTCCGGTATCCTAGTCATTCGTGCGCTGTGATTGGCTAGCGCGCGGTCCGGTATTTAAAGATCTGCCCAGTCCACGGTATCTTGCATTAGGTTGCGAGCAAAGTTGCAGAAAATACAAATAAAAAATAAAAATGTTCTTTATCGGCTAAAGGTCGGTCCGTGTAGGAAAACACTACCTGAGGTATATAATGCATGAACGTGGCACTCAGTTAATAACCCTTCAATATGCGCAAAAATGTATTTCACGGGTAATGTATCGAGTAAGAAGTTGGTCTTCGCTAAGCTTTGAATATCTACTATTTGCCATTTTTTCCTTTCTATACTCACTGCTGCATCATGAGCTGATAGCCGAGTAATAGATGGAGAATTTTCTTTTTTTGGATATAACCATGAAAATTACTTGTTGAGTGCGGATCCGCCCATGATTAAAGTATGGCATGTTTTACCTTGTCCAGCGCTACACCAACTTCTTTTAACCTTTCTTTCGTAGAAAAAAGACAGCTTACTTTCTTCAGCAGAACACCTGCAATATTATGGATAATTAAATCTTAGAAGACGATACAACTTGTAATCAGATATGAAGAACGATTAAAAAAGCAAGAGCGGGTTCCGGGGGGAGGGAATTTTAAGACTGAAGTGTGACTCGGACTTTGAAAGAAAATAAAGAAAACTCACCAAGATCTCCGAAATGTTCACTGTATTTCAAAGCATTATCCAAAATGATCACTTCTGCGATGTAGCTTTCCTTCTCATCTGTTTTGGAAACTTCTGGCAATATCTTTGACAGACCCTGTTTGCTTCTGATGTACTCCAAGACTAAATCTCTCATTGAGCGCGAAGTAAGGGAAAGATTTCCAAGATCAACCAGAGGAACTCGAGCAAAGATATGAAAGCACATTTCCTTGGGCAAAACGGAAAGATACCCGAATATTGTGGTAGCTGCTTGTTCAAATATTTTTTCCGCTTTTTGCTTTCCTGCTGCCTTGTGTCTTCTTGCTTTGTATGTTGTTTTCACATTTTTCATGTAACAACATATATGAGAGGTCATATTGACCAATTTACAATAACCTAGAATATTAATATACAGTTCATTGAGTGCAAACACTAAAACCATGAAAAAGTTTATATCAATGGTCCACTTCTGATATTTTGATATTTTGGCTATGTCATTCACAAAAGAATTGAGGACGAGGCTCAAGTGAAAGAAAATATTTTTGTATTGTTWCCCCGGAGCCTCGTCTTCAATCTTTTGGTTAATCAACAAACGATCCAAAATATTGATCGTTGGCGATTGTGGTGCTTTTTCACCCAAATTCCTTTGTTTTCGGCTAATGTCTAATCTACACAGTATATTGAGCTAATTAGAACAGTATGCAGTAAGCTTACACCTTGTTACGCTGAAATTCATGCATGCATTGTTTTCTTTTATTCCTATAAGCTTTAAGCTTAAGTTTTAGTATCTAATTGATTATCATACAAAATACCTCACGGACTAAATTTGCACCTGTATAAGTTTAAAAGGTTAAACTCAAAAAGTATTAACAAAAAAAACAAAGAGATTCAACAAGCTTTTAAAAACAAGAAAATAAAAATGCTCTCAAATAAACTTTTTGTATCGAAGTGCTAAAAAATATCGTAATCATTACCACCTCAACTTACCTTGGTAAAGATAAAAATTCCTTAGACAACTTTGAACTGTGAAAAGTCTTTCCAAACTCGCATATCCCCCCAAGCCGGTGTTTACGTTTCGTGACAAGGTATCATTTTTTTTTCGTTTTGCAAAGAAATGTGGCGGGAAGTGCGGACGCGCGCGTCCTTCTACATGTGCAGAAGAGCGCCAAAATATCACTTCCGGTTACCTATCTATTTTGTTCTCAACTTCCGGTCCGCGAGCGATTGCCAATATTCGGACATTGTTCGGATTCAGGTTCGGATTATTATCGATAAAGCACAGGAAAACCACGAAATTTAGAATTTTTTTGCAAATTATTATTATCATTTTTTTGCATCTTATTTTCTATTCTAATTTTGCGAAAGTTGATCATGAATATAGTTTCAATAAAAAAATGTTTTTCGGAGCTATATATCCATTACAATATCCAGGCATCGAAATAAGTTCGTCATTTCATCGTTTCACAGTCGTTCAATTCGAATATATTCCGACAACTGTTGACCAATCAGAATAAGCCATTTGATCCGGCCCCGAGTGAAAAATTCAGAAAGTTCAGCATCCGTCCATGTTCAGATAGCAAACCTTCCTTCGAAAAACTGATAAAATTTAGTGTGAAACAGCCATGATCAAACTATTTTCACTTAAACAACAGAAAAAGGAAGGCGAGGGTGCTAAAAGTGGGATAAAACGAGCTTCAGCTGCCCAGTTACGGATTCAAAAAGGTGCGACAATCGTCCAGTATCCTACATGTTTTTAATGTTTTTTGTGTCATTTGTACATCATTTTCATAGTTCAATGCGAAAAATTGTATCTCCACTTTTCAAAATATCCTGTCGTCGTACCTCCTAAGCATATGTTTACTGTCAGTAGATCTTTTTTTTAAGGTAATCGAACATTCTACAGAGGCAATGTAGCTTTGTGAATCTAAGTGGACATGATGAACTCAAATACAATCTCGCTTGATATTCTCTTGCAATTTTAATGATTGCTCACGCAATTCAACAATTGAAGAAATACATACGTCATTAATTTCAGAATTAGCAGTTCTATAAATATTATTGAGAACTTCACTATCAATTTACCATGTTTGGGATACCTCTTTCCACATGCATAGTACGTAATAAATGTTAAGCTTAACTTTAAAGGTCAAGCTATAAAATATTTTAACTTTTCCATTTTCCGTTGTTAGGGGTACTTATGTCCATATAAATTGTTGCTGTATCACATGTCAGTTTTTACTCCTCATTGGCTGTTAAAGAAGGTTGTGGATAAAACCTCTACATGTATTTCCTTTTCCACACTTTTCAAAATAAGGCAGACTTCTGGTAGTTTAATTCAAACATAAGACAGGTTATAATTATACAATGCAGTCAGTGAGAGAATGGTTATTGACAAAAGAAATCCAATCATGACTATAAGATAAGAAAGCAAGGAATAGTGCTTTTGTAGATCTGGACAGCCAATAACTTGTTATCCAAGACTGGCTTCAGATACATGTATGAACTGCAAAGGGTGTCTGACCTATTGTAGCATGGTTGGAGATGGGAGGTTGGATGGGGGCACAAGGGAAGCAAGCTGACCATCTTGCACTCCTTGTGGATATCATCTGACATTTTGTATTTCTTTTATGTTTTTTTTTTGTTATTTCTTAACATGATGGTATGTGGTCAATTGAATGTTAATTTAATACACTAGAGTTGTTTCTTCCACATGACATTTCTGACTTTTTGTAAACGTATAACTCTATTATTCCCTGATGATGGATTGTAAATCCGAATACAAGGAACTACTAGACATGAATGTTAATGGATACCAAAATCTACTATAACATCTTTGTGTATGTGCTTCCTGCAAAAATGGCCAAAATATCTGAAGTGGTTCATATTAGTAGCAAGGTCCAAGATATCATTTTATCACAGAAGTAAAGTGACAGTTGACACTAAAGTTTAAGCCAGTTATCATAAATTTTTACAATAATAGAATGGGTATCATGCAATTATCCGTACATGCTTTGTCACCAAGCTACTGATATGTGTAATAGTATATTATCATTTGTATAAACCATTCAATTCTAAAATTATTATTTGCAGATATTAATGAGCTCAGTTTACCAAAGACCTGTCAGACAGACTTTCCAGACCCTGATGATTTATTAAACTTCAAGTTAATAATCTCACCAGATGAGGTACAGCAGTAAACTAATTTATTTTGCTTGGATGAATAATATCTGTTCTTGTTTTTTCAATTGGTTTCTCATCTACCAAGTCCTCTAATAATGAAATATTTTGGTCTTCACTGTAGATTTCATTGGCCCAAAACTCTTCCAAACTCTGGCCTTCCTAACCTCTGTATAACCACTGTATTTTCATACAGGCATGTCGGAATTATGCGCGGATGCGGACGCGCATAATTGCCCCCTTTCCGCATAATTTACCAAATTGCACATAATCCCGCATAATTCGTGTTTTTCCCATGTTATACCATTTTTTAAGATGACTTGCCTTCTACTAATGTTTTTTGTGGTCCATTGACTGTTTTTTTGATCAAAAAACGCTCCCAAACATGCTTATAATTTTCCGAATGTAGTTTTGTTTTCGTGGGCTTTACAAATGTACCAGACGTTCAAAATTTCATCAGAAAAGAGTCTGGGCACTAGCATTACTGGTCACCCTGTGCCTTACTAGATCACGTGACAAATTCCAATATGGCGTATGATACAAGTGAGAGAACGAAAAAGTCTAAAAAGATCTTTCCTTCTGTTGGTACTGCCTTCTTTACTTCGTAACTAAGATAAAAACGGAGTTTTGCATGAAAAACAAACACAATAACCTAAATATATGTAAAATTTCCCAAAGTTTACGTTCCTGTGATGACGTCATCGCGCATGATTTTCCGCATAATTCACCCTTTTCTCCGCACAATATGGGGAAAAAATTCCGCATAATTTTGATTTTTTTCGCGCATAATTCCGACATGCCTGTTTCATAGCAATAGATATCATTTGAATCTCAAAAATTAATTTAAAGTTTCGAGAATTATTTTATTAATTCATAATTTATTTATAATATCTTGTATACATAAAACCTTTTTGCAAAAAGACAATGGTCTTGCAAATACATGTATGATTGTGTACATGGTTAAAAGATAATTTGTTTTTCTTTTCAGGGTTTCTACAAATTAGGAAAATTTGTATTTAGTTTTAAGGTAAAAGGTTATGTAGTTCACTCATGGATAATTTATTTTTAGGATAATGAAAAATATTATTGATTATTTACCAGTAACGGAACACAATAAAAAACAATATAATATTGAATGCATATAAAATAGTGTTTTATCATTTTTAGATGGTGTTGATTAGACAATCGGAAACATGAGCATTATTAGTCTATTTCATAAAAATATTACTTGTAATTATAATGATAATAATTATAATTTCAATTGTGGTAAAACAGGTTGGACCAGGTTACCCCCATGATGCACCAAAAGTAAAATGTGAAACGAAGGTAATGTTACAATATGATAAAGCAATGTAAAATTTGGTAATTTTTTTTCTACAGGGGAGTGCAGAGTGGGTTTTCCAGCACTGTTTTGTGGTTTGAATATTTGTGAACTTAAAGGTCACTGGTTGAAAAATTTCACAAGTATTGTTTTGGATTCTTACTGAAAAAACTGTTGGACTTTTTGAAAATGATTTTCAGATTTCGCAAATAGTAAGTCTCATATTTCAAAGACTTTGTCTGTCACAGAAAGGGGGTTGAAGGGGGTTTCCAGAACCCCTAGAACCACCCCCTGTGCATATCCCTGTGATTATGATACATACAAGGCTGCTCAGTCTATTTAACAATTGGACCTTGAGGTCGAGTGGACTACGAGCTAATAGTCCATGAGGTCGAGTCCGCGATGCCGAATGGGCTATAAGCTTGTAGTCCACGAGTCTGAGAGGTCTAATTGTTTTAGTATAAACATACTAATTGGTCAAATAATGAAAACAGATTGAAATATCCTTAAAATAATTTATTAATGAGATGCCACCATTTTCCCGCGAGTGGTCTATCACAAATTAGACCATTAGTAGAGTAGCCAATCACAGCGCAGTATGAGTGATAGACCATTAGTATGTTTATACTAGAGAGATATAGAGTGGAATATCCTGTCTACTAACTGTGGTCAGCGTCAGTCATATTTGAAGGGGCGGATGTGAAACCGGCTTAAGTGACGATTTAGGGTATTTTCGAAATTTTCGAAAAATTAAAAAAACATCATTCCAATHGCTYATTTTAARTCTAAATAAYCTTATTTAGTACTTATTTCTCCTGATTTCTTTCCAAAAAGAGCAAAAAAGGACCCATAGTTACCGACTTCTTTGGCTTGACAACTGATCGCTAGACCGTAAAATATCCTAGATTTGCATATTTGCGCTAAACTCATGACTTTGACAGTTGGTTTGCCGGTTTGTTTTGGTTCGAAGCTGTGCTGCAAGAAGTCGAGAAATGAGTTTTTTCGCGGTTTTCTCAGCCTTTTTGCCTTTAGTCACTACTCTACGGACATCATTAAGTTTGTAGGTAGCGAAGGAGCTTACTTGCTGAAAGAATCCAGCTTGGTGTGTGACTTTTTAAGCGATTTTGATTCCGCGGTTCATTCGATTAACTCGGACAGTCGCTTGAAGAGAATCACTTAAAAGACCGTCTAAAGGCAAATCCTTGGAGCTGCCACGGTAATTTTTGGATGTTTTGGCTATTGAGGAACAAAAGCGACTTGAAATTTTGGCAGATTTCCGAGAAGGCTGTAGACTTTCTCTAAATTTCTATTTCAGATTGGAC